TGATAAAGCAAGTATAGACTGTAGTATACAATTGAAGGTGGAGTGCCTTATATTATTTATTCCTAGACCATATGGATCTTTATCCTATAATAAATTTAATTTTGTTTATTTATTGATGATCTGATTTTAGAATTATTATTTGAATTTTTCTAGATCTATGGATATTTTATTTATAAAATTTGGATTTATAAAAATGAAGGTATTGATTTTTAATATTTTAAATATTCAAATTAATTCTAAATACTTTATTGATTTTTAAATATTTAAAAATAACATTGATAGCTCATTGTGCACATGAGCCCACCATGCCCTGAATTGGTGGGGGGCACCAAAGCCATGGGTGGCACGCCCCAATTTTTGGAGGCTTCTTATTCTCATGGGGTGGTACACCCCACTTTTAGGAGGTTTTCTATTTTTTATGGGATAAGTAGTTAAAGAAGATTTGAGTGAATTTTTTAAAAAACTTGAGAAGGCTTGTACATATTTTTGGATAAAACACAAAATTATGATTAGTATTATTTTATTTAATTTATATTGATGGGATAATGGTCAAAGCAAAAAGGGGGATAAAGGTTCTAGGACCTTCCATAATGTTAATGACCCATCTACAAAATAGATGACTCAAATTTCTCAAACCACAGGTCACCCAAGATCAATGGTTCATATTCAATCTCACAAGAAGAGGCAAGCCAAAGAAAATCCTAATCTTGTTGAAAGCCTATAACAAGATATTGTCTCTACCCAAAATTTCTACACCTTATCTCTAATACTTAATTCTCATCTTTCTCTCTCATATCCCACAAAGAGGCAAGCCCCACTTAGAATTTATCTCTCTCTCTCACTTAAGAAAAATTTATTTATCTCATGAAAGCCCGAAAGGGGGCATATCGCACTTTCCTATATTTGAAATCTCTCTCTCCCACATAATGAAAAAACCTAAGGGTTTAGACGACAAGGTTCTTCTCTCCCATCTCTCAACTATGGATTTATGGCTAAGGGTTTTAAGGTATAGCAAAAAGAGAATCCATCTCTGTCAAATTAGGTTGCTATGGGAATTCACTTAGGATTTGAGTTTTTGATCAAAGGGGTTTATTCTATTGGAGTAGTTTGGCCTAAACTTGCTTTCCTGATGTTTTATTGGAGTGGCTTGGCCTAAACTTGTTTTCCCGATGCTCTATTGGACTGGCTTGACCTAAACTTGTTTTCCCAGTTGAGATTGAAGGTTGATCATTGATCACGTGCCATCGGATGGTAGTGACTACGTGTGGGGTATAATAAGTCCGGTTGATGTAATCTACGAGACTTTTTTTTTGTTTCTTGTTATATTTAATTGTATTGATTTTATGTTCCCAAGCATAAGAATTGTGGATATTTTCTTTGTTTAAAAAAAAATTAGCTTAATGGCATCAAGGTTTTTAATATCTTGGATTCGTTAGTTTTATTTTCTTTGAAGCAAGAGTTATTGTAATAAGACTACTTGTAAGTGATATTTGTCAAATGAAAAGAAAAAAAAAAAGAAAATGGGTGAAAAGAAGAAAAATAAAAAATTATATTATCCGGCAAGATCGCATTAGTATTTCTTTCATTCCCATTAGAGTCAATGTCACCATTTTCTCTCTTTTCATAGGATCAAAGAAAATACACTAAATTTAGTCTAATGTTCTCTCTCTCTCTCTCTCTCTCTCTCTCTCTCTCACACACACACACAATGAGCATACTGAATATCCCCCATCAATCTAAAAAACCTAATCTTTGATCACATTAATTTCCCACAAGAAAACAAATGAACCATAGTGATTCACTGCTGAAATTTCTACAAAATAATTCCAGTAAAAATAGTCACAAGTGTTCCCAGTGTAGAAAAAGACAGATGCACAACACTGGAAAAATCCGCTCCTCAATTAGTATCACAATGTCATACTAGCCCAAGCCTCCCAACCAAATAGAAAGAAGAAGAGCAACAAAAATGACATGGAAGAAACCTTGAATTCAAAGATAAAAAATGGGGTACACAAAGGCATTACAATCTTGATACCCAAGATTAACTTTAAAATATGTCACCCAATTTTTTCACCACACATCTCTCTAAAATAGAGCTTTTTTACAACCATATTTACTACAAAAACTACTGATTTGCAGCAACTACTAACCACTTAGCAATTTTATAACTTCCTACAACACAAACTTACAAGTACAACCTGACTACATCACTCATAATAAAATAACATAAAAACTAATATACTTTCTAAAAAATATACTTTAACAATTTTAACGCTCTCTGTTAAAGTGATTTTCTAAAAAGGAGACCATGCATTCGCGATCATCTCCAACATTTCCCAAAATTGAAAATCCGGCCATTGAGCAGGCCACCAAAGTGATTCTCAAATTCCACCAAGTAGGGTTGCATAGCCCATCCTAGAATTGAGGTAACATTGGGAATATAATCCCTTTTTAATCCATGAATGATAAGTCACTTCATTCATGCTTCCAAATAGGTTCTTTCACATCAATGGGAGATCTCCAAACAAAAATTATATTTCTTAAGACAAAGATTCTAATTCTTAAGAAGAATTGGGAAATAAAAAAACCGCATTGAGTTGAGTTCCCAACTCAACATTAAAACCATTAGACCTTCCACCGAATCCATCTTAAAAATAATAATTGATCTTCTTAACCAAGGGAGTCAAGACCACATAACTACCACCCTTGTAGCCCTCTGATACCATGTAGAGAAAGATAGATGCTAAAACACCGGAACAATCAGCTTCTTAATTCGTGTAACAATGTCACACTAGCCCAAGACTTTCAACCAAATAGAAAGAAGAAGGACAACCAACATTAGGTGGAAGAAAACCTTCAATTCAAAGATGGAAAATGGGATACACAAAGGCATTACAATCTTGATACCCAATATTAACCTTAAAATATCTGACCAAATTCTCTCATCACACACCTCACTTAATAGAGGTTTTTTACAACCATAGTTACTACATAAACTACCTATTTGCAACAACAACTACTAACCACTTAATAGTTTCATAACATTTTGCTACACAAACTTACAAGTACAACTCTTAATAAAATAACATAAAAACTAATATACTTTCTAGATAATACACTTGAACAATTTTAACACCTAAGGCATCATTTAAAGCAAACCGCACTGTAAAAGTAAAAGAAGATAAAAGAACCACCCAAGAAGTACACATAAAGATAAATCTAGAGAGAGAGAGAGAGAGGGGAACTTATAGATCGAAAGAGGAAGAAAGGCTGACCTTCGACTCCCAGAGCGGAAGACTCCAAGTCTAAACCAATAAATGTAGCCAATAGAAGGAGTGAGGTCAAGTAAGCAGCCAATAGTAGGAGTGAGGTCAAGTAAGCAGTTGAAGATGGAGTCCATGGAGTCCTCAAGTCCAAACCAATAAATGTAGCCATTAGATGGAGTACGTTCAAGTAAGCAATGAAACCAATAAATGTTGCCATTAGAAGGAGTCAGGTCAAGTAAGCAGTTGAAGATGAGGAGAAGCCAAAAATCTGATTTGAATCTCTTTCTAATTCGAAATGGAACCACCGAGGCTCTTAGTTGTAGGCCCTTTGCCTCTTTTTGGGAAAAAGCCGTACAATTCAAAGGGGAAGAGAGATGGGGTGCTCAAAAATCGAAAATCAAATTTTAAAATTCATATCCTTAGTTTTTAAGAATGTTTTTTATTTTTGAATTAAAAGTAAAAAAATATCTTTCTCTTTAGGCTTTGAGCTCCATTAATGTGAGGATAATGAGGGTAAAAAGGCACTTCACGAATGATTCTAACTTGAACTTATGTTTTTTGGTGTTGTTAAGTAAAAAAAATCCCTTTTATAAATCATGAAAGAAGAAATTATTGACGTGTAAATTTTAGATTTAAAATCTATCTTAACAGTATCCGAATTTCGAATCCACCATACCATCCGAATGACACTACGGTGGAGATTGAGACCTGCTTAGCCAGGAATTGGGACCCCTGAGTCAATAGATGTGGTTAGGGCAATTCACGACTTATATAATCTTCCACACAAGCAGACGAAAGACTCGATAGTCATCCACAAAAGTGGTCCTAAAGCAATACATGAGACTCCTTCAATTGTTCATTCATACAACCTGGCATTCTATGAAGAACGCCGTAGAGAAAAATGTTAATACGTCTCAATCAAATTAATGGGCTTTGTTATTACTTGCCAGCCTTCCGACAAATCCGCCGGTTCAATTTGGAACCGGCCCCTATTTTAACTAATTTTGATAATCTGGCAAGGTATTTTGAAAAAAAATTTAAAATTATGATATAAAATCTCAAAAAATAAAGACTTTATTTGTAATGCATTTTTTGAATGTTTTTTAACATTTTGGAAAATATTGGAATATGTTTTGGCCATAAATATTTATTTTTACATTTTTCATCTTTTTACAAACATTTCAAAAATATCTTTAGGCACAAAACGATTTTTTAAAATCTATTTTTTCACTAATTTTCAGCTTTATTTGGATATACTTTGTTTAATTATGCTTTAAATATACTTTTCATAGTTGTTTAGATGTGTTTTGTATTTTTTTATTTTTTAACATTTTTTTGACCGGCCAAGACTTACCCGATTAGACCGGTTGAACCAGCCGGTTTACCAATTAATTGGAACCGGCCCTTGGCCTGTTCAATGTTTTGAACATTGTTACTTGCAATTTGCATTATCATCAGCCTCAAGGTCCTTTCGTAAACTATTTGGGATCGGCTACATGAATCTTGATCCACCACTCAGCTCAAAGACAATACTATTACTTGCCATTTGCATCTACCACTAAATTGTGGTGATGATTTTTTAGAGAATGGCTCATCTCCACCATCCATTACTCCAAAAGGACGGTTTGGATGAAAGTAACACTAGAATTTTGATATATTAAGCTTTCCCCTTAAAATCATTACACTCAAAATGCTACACTCCTGGTTAACATCAAAAGAAAACCTAAAGGAGAGATAGGGCGGCGGCGGTTACACAAAATCATCATGTGACTGCAATCCAATTCCTTCCTCGTTTCTTCCACGAATGACCATATCAATCCATCAAGAATGCGGCCCCCTTTTACTATCCAGGTCTTCCCCACCCTGCTTTTCTTTTTCCTAATTAAACACCAATAAATCTTGCTTTCCCTGCTTCTCTAAGCAGAAGAGAGATAAAATGTTGCTCCACGCTTTACTTCTTTTTCTTGTTATCAATCCCTCTGCCTCATATGAAATCGCCTTCAATTACACAAGCTTCCATGGAGCAAACTTGAGCTTAAATGGCGTTTCAGAGATCACACCTAGTGGAGCACTGCAAGTAACAAACCGTTCACAACAAGTATTCGGCCATGCTTTCTACCCCAACCTCTTGCAGCTCAAGAACTCCTCATCAGGAAATGCTTTTTCTTTCTCAACAGCTTTTGTATTTGTTATTTCTCTTCCCATTGTCACTGCAGCCGGTGGTCTTGCATTTGTTATCTCTCCTTCTACTAAGCTCGAAGGATGCCGAAGCCAAGAGTTCCTCGGACTCTTTGGCCTCACAGGCAATGGTGACCCCAAAAACCAAGTTTTTGCAGTTGAATTCGATCCCTACAAGAACATAGATTTAGAAGACATTGATGATAACCATGTGGGCATTGACCTGAACAGCTTGAGGTCTAATGTATCCACTTCTGCGGCTTATTACACTACAAAGGATCATAAGACTTCCAAACATAGTATAAATCTCAAGAGTGGAGACCCAATTCTGGTATGGATAGAATATGATGGCATAGAGAAGTTGCTGAATGTAACTCTATCTCCTATTCAAATAGCTGGAAGAACCAGCCAACCTTTGATTTCTTCCAAGATTGATCTCTCACCAATCCTACAAGAGTTCATGTATGTGGGTTTCTCTGCAAGCACAGGAGAATTTACAAGTTTCTATTGCATTCTGGAATGGAGCTTTGCGATAAATGGGAGGGCTCGAGATTTAGATCTCTCTCACCTTCCTCTGTACCCGAAACCCAAATCATCTAGGGGGATTTCCATGGCTCATAAGATTGAGATAATTCTATCTTCTATAGTCCTAGCCATGGCAACTATCTCTGGGATTGTATACGTTGCTAAAAGGAAAAAGGATAAGGAGACCGTCAAAGAATGGGAGTTGGAGTATGGGCCACATAGGTTCTCATACAAGGAGCTATGTGATGCCACCAAGAATTTCAGAGAGGATGGGTTGGTGGGATCTGGAGGCTTCAGCAAGGTTTATAGAGGAGTAATGCCAGACTCTGGGATGCAAATTGCAGTGAAATGTGAGGCAAACAATTCCGAGGAAGGTTTACGAGGCTTCGTATCAGAGATCTCCACCATTGGGAGACTACGACACAGGAACCTGTTGCCACTACTTGGATGGTGCAAGAGAAAAACAGAGCTCTTCATAGTGTATGAGTACATGCCCTATGGTAGCCTAGACAAACACCTATTCGATGAAAGCACCCCAATTTTAAGCTGGGAGCAGCGGTACCATATCCTCAAGGGTGTTGCCTCAGCATTGTTCTACCTACATGAACAATGGGAACATGTGGTAGTACACAGAGACGTGAAGGCTAGTAACATTTTGTTAGACACAGATATGAACAGTCGATTGGGGGACTTTGGGCTAGCACGGTTATGTGATCATGGAACCAACATGCACACGACACACGTGGTGGGATCACTTGGCTACCTTGCACCAGAGGTGTCCTGTACTGGAAACTACACTACTTACTCTGATGTCTTCTCGTATGGCATTGTGTTGCTCGAGGTGTCTTGCGGGCGTAGGCCAGTCGACATGCGGAGGTTGCCAGAAGAAATCATTTTGGTGGACTGGGTGAGGAAGTGCTTTAGTAAGGGAAAGCTCTTGGATGTTGCTGACCCTAGGCTTAATGGGGCATTTGTGGCTGAAGACATGGCAATGGTGCTAACCCTAGGATTGCTGTGTTCTCACCGAATGCCTGGTGCAAGGCCTAGCATGAGGCAAGTGTGGCATTATTTGGATGGTGATATTCCTTTCCCTAATACATTGCCTAATGACATTGTGGTGAACATGAATGAAAACCATGACTGCTTTCAAGCCCTTAGTGATGAATTCTCTATGAGATCTTCTGTAGGGACTGAGTTTTTACTCTCAGGAGGCCGTTGATGGATCGCCCATTTCAATATAAACTTACACACTCTTTCTTCTTCTATCTCTTATCATTATTGAGTGTGTAAACAGAAATGTAAACTTCTTCTTCTATCTTATCATTATTGTGTGTATACTAGAAATGTTCCTAAGTATTGAGATTAAGCAGTTTGGAAGAATTGGGTTCAAGGGCTGCATAACCTACAACTAAGAGTCAAATGGTTTCCTCAGTCGTGGCATTCATTTTATACCTCATGGTAATCTAGTATTTGCATAGGCAATGTTTGTTAAACCAATTTATTATTTCTTTTATCTGTTTCTTGTGTGGGCATTTGTCTGTGAGTGGTAAAGCTTGACTCAAGGTATTGTTTTCCTTCCTCATATTTTATCTATTATTATTATTTTTTCCCCCTTCCCTTCTCTTTAATATCCTCATCTCACATTATTACTTTCTCGTTTATGCATGCTCTTAAAATTGTACAATTTCAGACATTTAATCAGATTCTTCGGTATCTTTAGTTAAGTGGATTCTTCGTTATCTCAGTGATACACAGTCTCATGTTATAAGGATCTTATCTGTTAGTTCTTTTGAATTATACGTCTTCTTAGATGCTGACTGAGCTAGGTGTCATAGTACTCTCTATTAAACTATTGGTTTTTGTACCTATTTTGGTTCCCAACTGTATATCTTGAAATGCTAAGAAACATTCGAGTGCACCTCATTCAAGTGCTAAATCTGAATACCGAACTATAACATCCACTGTTGTAGAATACTAATGACTTTTTTCTAATCTAACATTTTGCCCATTTTCAAAACTTTCTTAAAATGTTTTAAAAAACGAATGAGTCAGATCAACCAACCTGAAATTATGATATCATTATGTCTCGATTAATAGTACATATCCAAGATCTGAGATGCTAGCTTGTACAAGAGAAAAACATTAATAAGTTGAGGAATCCTAGGTAAAACCCCTTTTCAAACTTTTCTTGTTTTCAATAAAACCTACGAATTAAAACCCACAACTAGAGAAACCTTAGTGGTTGTCACACCCCAAGAATTTACAATACTGATATTCCTGAGATGTGACAATCAAAACATATATACATCTCTTTTTAGGACAAATTTACAATGGCGAATTATTACAAAGTAACAAAAGAAAGTTTAAGCACAACTACAATATCTTCCAGAGTTGATCCTGACGAGAACTCAAAATGAAACTGCAGTTATCCTGAAAAAAAATGTTTACCATAGTTTGATGCGTTTGGCTACTCAGTAAGTGATCAACATAATCCAAAAAATAATCATAGTTGAAAGATATCAATATTTTCAAAAAAGGACATCTATTAACAGAAATGTATCAACAGTTTCACTTTAAAAAAATGCATAATTAAGTATAATTCAAATAATTGAAATGCGTAAAATATTTTAACGACAGTGCATAATTTCAAAAGATTTCACAAAATACCTTGCTGGCGTCCCAAGTAGGTCACCTATATACCCCATTAGCGTCCTAATGGGTCCACTTAATCCCTATCGGCGTCCCAGATAGGTCCACTTAATCCCTGCAGGTCCACTTATACCTCACCGGCGTACCAGATGAGTCCACTTAATCCCTACCAGTGTACCGGATAGGTCCACTTAAACCTCACCGAACCGGATGAGTCCACTTGCATACTTAAAGTATTTCTAAATTTCTTTAAACATTCGAAAGCAGCAATATCATATACTAAACATATCACTGTAATTATTAATATGAATTTCACTGAAATTATTAATAACAGTCACTTTTAATAAAATTTAAAAAATAACCAGTCAAATATTTTGGGCTCAAATTTAGAAAGGTAACAGTTCGTAAAGACATTCTAGCATAATTGCCAATCTAATATGTATAGAAAAACTCTTATAGAAATTCAAGAATACAAAATTATCACAATTTATGGGATGTCAATTCGCAAATAAACATTTCATAAACAATGCTATAATCAGTTGCAAAAATATCTGTTTTCAAATAATAAGGCAGTCATTTGCATATGAAATTTACAACGTCTAAATATTCAAAAAACAGTAGAAAGAAATACTCACAATTTTACTAAAAGCAAAAATTATCACATTTATTTCTAATAATTTACAGCATTTAAAATATTTTTACAATAGATAAAATATCACCATTTTTACTAAAAAGATTATTTTTCGAGACAATGAGATCGCTTACATTAACTCCGAAATTGGGGGAGCATCAGTTCCATCCCTCACAAAAACATCGGTACTTTCTTCAGAGACTCGATGTGAATGAAGAATCTTTTCCAGGGAAAGAAAGCATATAAAATCAACTTAACAGGAATTGTGATTTACAAGAGCAAATGAAAGTAGTGTATGCAAAAGTTACCTTGCATACCAAATCGACAACCTCCTTCTTTTTCACATCCCCAATCTTCTTTTAAAGGAAGCACATATTTATCATTACCTAAACATAAACAGTAACTATGCTAGAGAGAGAGAGAGAGAGTGTGTGTGTGTCGAATAAAATAGAAACACCTCAGATGCAAGGTATTTTACAAACAAGATAAGAGGAGTGTTAACATAAAGTTTTAAGATGGTGGACCTAAGGTCCACCCAAATAAAATTGAACCCTCAAGTATATTAACAATAATATCGTTTTATTTATTGTTAATATAAAAGTTGCAATATCTTAACGGTATAAAATTATTATTATTGTTATTATCATTACTAATATATAATTATTATTTTATTTATTTATTTTGTATTTATTTCTGTTAACACCATTAATTTTATTATTATTATTATTAATTTTTTACTTTTTTTTTTGGTTCCAAAAGTTTTAGGTCGTCACAATCTCCCCCCCTTAAAGAAATTTAGTCCTCTAAATTTTTGTACCTGATTACTGAAAAAGATAGGGATATTTTTCTCTGATATCGTCTTCTCGTTCCAAAGTCGATCCTCTCTTGAATGGTACTGCCATAATATATGGACCAAGGGAATCTCTTTGTTGCACAATACTTGTACCCTTCTATCCAGTGTCAAAATTGGCTTCTCAATGAAGGATAGGTCCTTCTTAATTGGTAAAGGTTCATATTTCAAGATATGGGATGGGTCGGGCTAATACTTTCGTAGTGATGATACATGGAAGACATTATGGACGTTTGCCAATTCGGTTGGTAAGGCAAGTCTATAAGCGACACCTTCGATTCTTTCCAAGATTTCAAATGGTCATATGTAATGTAGGCTCATCTTTCCTTTCTTGTCGAATCTCATAATGCCTTTTATTGGTGAGATCTTTAGGAAAACTCGATCATCTTCCTCAAATTCAAGATCTCTCCGTCGATTATCGACATAACTCTGAGCTGTCCTGAGCCTTTCTCGAATTAATGTTATCTTATATGTGGTTACCTGGACAATTTCTGGTCCTAAAAGCTTTCTTTCACCAACCTCGTCCCAACAGATGGGTGACCAGCATTTCCTTCCATACAGGGCTTCAGATGGCGTCATCTGAATACTGGCTTGGAAGCTATTATTACAAGCAAACTCAATCAAGGGTAAATGGTCATCCCAACTTCCTGTAAAGTCAATGACACAGGCCCTCAGCATATCTTCCAAAGTTTGGATGGTCCTCTCCGATTGTCCATTAGTTTGGGGGTGAAAGGCAGTGCTAAAGGTGAGTCTCGTCTCCATGGTTGACTGTAGCCTAGCCCAAAATTTAGAAGCAAACCGAGGATCCTTGTGCGATACAATACTGATCGGAACTCTATGCAACTGCACTATTTCCTTAATGTACAACTGGGCCAGTCGATCCAAAGTGTACGTCATGCGAATCAGTAGAAAATGGGCCGCTTTGGTCAGCCGGTCCACAATGATCGAAATGCTATCATGTCCTGAATTTGTTCTAGGCAAGCCAGAGGCAAAATTCAAAGAGATGTGCTCCCACTTCCATTCTGGCAAGGGTAAAGGCTGCAACAACCCAGCGGGCCATTGATGCTCAGCTTTTACTTGCTGGCATGTTAGGTACTTAGACACAAATAGTGCTACCTCTTTTTTCATATTATTCCACCAAAAGGTTTTCTTCAGGTCCTAATACA